AGCTGAGGTTTGAATCCCATCCCTAGCAGCTTGCAGAACATGTCAGCCACATGTCTGTGCATGCCTTAAATCCTCACAGGACAGGGAAATGGAGGAAGGGGGCAGTTATGACCGCGCTCCACCGGAGGGTGCTTTCTCCCTCTCGCTCTGTCTCTGGCGAGTGCAGGCGCTCTCTGGCAATCAGAAAAATAAGTGGGAGTTCAGTATGTGTGTTCTCTTTTCTTTTACTTCATGCTTTTTTTGTGTAAGCATTTAATCAGAAAAACATGACTTATTTTCTCCATGTGGATGTATTTTTACTTTAACTTATTGGATATTTTTTCTTGATTACATAAGTAGCGATTGCCATGAAGCATTTTTTTTCTTTTTTTTGGAGAGATTTTGCTATAGGGCCCGTGCGCTCGCCAGAAAGACAGAGACAGAGAGGCAGAAAGCGAGAAATCACCCCCTCAGGGGGGATGGTCCCTTCTCTTCCATTCCCCTCTCGGGATCTTAGGCACGCATGCACACGTGCCTGGCGTGAGTTTAAGCCACCGGGTCCGGGATTCAAACCACTGTTGACTATGTGAGAGTCCAGTGGCATAGCCATTACGCTAACTGCTGGTCCTCATGAAACATTTTTTTTTAAAAAATTTTTTTTGGAGAGATTTTCACTGTAGGGCGCGTGCGCTCGCCAGACAGACAGAGAGAGACATAGAGACAGAAAGCGAGAAATCACCCCCCAGGGGGGATGGTCACGCCGCAATCCCTTCTCCTCCATTCTCCTCTCGGGATCTTGGGCACGCACGCACACGCGCCCGGCGTGAGTTTTAAGCCACCGGGTCCGGGACACGAACCGCGGTCGACTACGTGGGAGTCCAGCGACATAGCCATTACGCTAACTGCTGGTTCCCGTCATGAAACATTTTTTAGAAAATGTAAAAAAAAGGTATCTTATGACAAGTTAAACTGGGGCCCAGCCTTGGGGGGCTAGTGATTAAGTACGCCGGGTCTCATGTGGCCAACTGTGTGGTCTGGGCCCCAGACCCAGCAGCTTCAGAAACACACCCGACGTGTGCGAGCATGTGCCAAAGTCCCGAAAGAAGGACAGGTAGAGAAGGGATTGCAGCATGACCCTACCCCGTGGTGTGTGTGTTTGGGGGGGGAGGCTCTCTCATTTTCCCACTGTCTGTCTGTCTCTCTCTGGTGAGTGCTTATGCCTGGCAAAATTTTCAAAATACATAAAACCGTGGCAGCCCCTTAGCACAGCAGTTAAGTACGACACAGAGGAAACTGGGTCCCACATGGCTGACCAGGGCCAACTGTGTGGTCTGGGCCCCAGACCCAGCAGCTTCAGAAACACACCCGACGTGTGCGAGCATGTGCCAAAGTCCCGAAAGAAGGACAGGTAGAGAAGGGATTGCAGCATGACCCTACCCCGTGGTGTGTGTGTTTGGGGGGGGAGGCTCTCTCATTTTCCCACTGTCTGTCTGTCTCTCTCTGGTGAGTGCTTATGCCTGGCAAAATTTTCAAAATACATAAAACCGTGGCAGCCCCTTAGCACAGCAGTTAAGTACGACACAGAGGAAACTGGGTCCCACATGGCTGACCAGGGTTCAAGTCCCAGCTTGGTGGCTTGCAGAAACTTACCAGGTGTGCACTTGTGTACCCTGCCGGCCACACGTGTTTCCAGGTTTTTTTTTTTATTTTTTTAATTGCATGTGCCCTCACCAGAGAGAGCGAGCGAGAGGAAAGCCCTCCCCATGGGGTCTGGTCATACTGCATTCCTTTTCCTCCCATTTCTCCATCTTGTCAGGAGTCCTGGGCACTCATGCACATGAACCTGGTGTGTTCTTCAAGTCACTTGGGGCCAGGGTTCCAACTGTCCCACCATCTGGGATCCAGCTGTCTGTGCACCGTGCTTCGCCTCTGCACCAGGGAACTGGCTCTCCAATTTACTTATATATAAGACATAGTAATGAGTGTATTTATTTCTATATTTGTCAGAGTTCCTAATTATTTACTTACAATCATTTCTGGAAGGAAAATTCCTAGACGAATGTTGTCGCTCCTAACTATCAGAAAACACTCTTCTTTCAGGTCTATGCTGTCTCTGTATTTTCCAAATCTAAGCAAACAAACAATTTGCTGTCTTTTTTTTTTTTTTTTTTAAGAGAGATTTTTGCTAAAGGGCGTGTGTGTTAGCTGGAGAGACAGAGAGACAGAAAGCAAGAAATCACCTTCTCCAAGGGGGGCTGGCCAAGCCACAATCCCTTCTCCTCTCTCCTCCTAGTCATCGGGCACGCATGCACACACACCCAGTGTGTTTCATGCCACCGGGTCTGGGATTTGAACTGTTGTTGGCCGTGTGGGAGTCCAGTGACATAACTGTTACACCATCTGCTGGCCCCACATTTGATTGTTATTATTTTTTTTGGAGAGGTTTTTGCTACAGGGCGCGTGCGCTTGCCAGAGAGACAGAGACAGAGAGACAGATAGCGAGAAATCACCCTCCAGGGGGGAAGGCCATGCCACAATCCCTTCTCCTCCATTCTCCTCTCGGGATCTTGGGCACACACGCACACGTGCCCGGTGTGAGTTTAAGCCACCAGGTCCAGGACTTGAACCGCGGTCGATTGGCTACATGGGAGTTCACAACATAGCCGTTACGCTAACTGCTGGTCCCTGATTATTTATTTATTTTAAAGCTTGTCTGAGGACATATGTGTCTCTCAACAGAGAGAGACATGAGAAAGAGAAGGAGGAGAAAGCACCGTCTACTGCAGTGCAGTCATGCCGCAGTTGTAACCCCTTCTTTATTTCCCCGTCCTGTCAAGGTTGGGGGCACGCGTGCACATGCACCCGGTGTCATTTTCGTGTTGGGGTCAGGATTCACACCACGGTTGGCCATGTAAGACTTGACTGTTCTTAACCACTGAGCTATGGGGCTGGTCTTACACACATTTGATTTTCTTTTTAAGAATGATTTATTTCATTTTATTTATTAGTATTTTAATTTGCTATAGGACACGTGCATACATCAGAGAGAGGAAGAGAAGGCAAACCGCCAGGGCCATGACTCAGACCATGTGATGAGCTGTGTGGGAGTCCAGTGCCTCGACCGCCACGCCATCTGCTGATTGCCACACTTTTGATGTTTAAGAGAGTCTTCAGAGGAGGGACCAGCAGGTGGTTAAGGGCGCTGGACTCCCGCATGGCTGACTGCAGCTCCTGTCCTGGATCTGGCTGTTTGCTTTCTCACTTTCTCTCTCTCTCTTTCACTTTGTCCCTCTATGGTCAAATTAAAATAAATAAACAAGTAAAATAATTCTTTAAAAAAATGAAAAAAAAAAAGGGTCCAGCAGGTGGCATGGTGGTTAAGGCGCTGGACACTCCCACATGGCCAACCACGGTTCGAGTCCCCAGACCTGGTGGCTTGCTTTCTCACTCGCCCCCCTCTCTCTAGTCAAATTAAAATAAATGAAAAATAAAATAAAATAAATAATTCTTTAAAAAAAGAGTCCTAAGAGGAGACACTGTTAATGTGGGTAGGTTTGGGTAACCTGCTTACAGCTCCCCTGAGGAGTGGGGCCCCGACCACCCTAATATCAAAGCACTGACTTGGCCATTGTGCGTTCTCCTCTGTGTCCACGTCATTCTAACCCTCGGTCACATTCCTCTGAGCATGTCGGTTTGGGGGACACATACAGGATCATTTCAGCAGCTGGAGATGGCCTTTTTAGGATCTTCTCATTGGAAAAAAATATGACGTATTGATTATATGGGTTCACTGGGCTCTTGCGGTCATGATCTGTTCTGAATGTCGCTTTGTCGTCTTTGAAGCTCTTGCTATTTTGACCTCACTTGATAGGTTCAAAAGCTGCTCTGCATGTGTCCAGTCGATTTCCACGGGATCTTCCAGTTAGATGAGAGGCGGAGAGACGCAGTCATCGCGTTGGGCATTTTTCTCATTGAATCTGATCTCCAGGTAAGCCTGTTCTGGAAGCTTCTACAGTATGGAAGGGTTATAATGAGGGTTTGCATCTGTGTCTGCTGAGAGCACGTTCAAGCCTAGTCAGAGCGGTAGATGGGGGCAGCTGGGACAGCAAGCCTTCACAATACACACCTTCTCAGCACACTTGTTCTTTTAGATTATATGACTGTATTATGTTGTTTAAAAAGAGAGGTGTTTTTTCTTTTGCTCTGTTCTTCTTCTTCTTTTTTTTTTTTTTTGTGTAAAGTAAGTTTAGGGAGTCCAGTGCCTCGACCGCCACGCCATCTGCTGATTGCCACACTTTTGATGTTTAAGAGAGTCTTCAGAGGAGGGACCAGCAGGTGGTTAAGGGCGCTGGACTCCCGCATGGCTGACTGCAGCTCCTGTCCTGGATCTGGCTGTTTGCTTTCTCACTTTCTCTCTCTCTCTTTCACTTTGTCCCTCTATGGTCAAATTAAAATAAATAAACAAGTAAAATAATTCTTTAAAAAAATGAAAAAAAAAAAGGGTCCAGCAGGTGGCATGGTGGTTAAGGCGCTGGACACTCCCACATGGCCAACCACGGTTCGAGTCCCCAGACCTGGTGGCTTGCTTTCTCACTCGCCCCCCTCTCTCTAGTCAAATTAAAATAAATGAAAAATAAAATAAAATAAATAATTCTTTAAAAAAAGAGTCCTAAGAGGAGACACTGTTAATGTGGGTAGGTTTGGGTAACCTGCTTACAGCTCCCCTGAGGAGTGGGGCCCCGACCACCCTAATATCAAAGCACTGACTTGGCCATTGTGCGTTCTCCTCTGTGTCCACGTCATTCTAACCCTCGGTCACATTCCTCTGAGCATGTCGGTTTGGGGGACACATACAGGATCATTTCAGCAGCTGGAGATGGCCTTTTTAGGATCTTCTCATTGGAAAAAAATATGACGTATTGATTATATGGGTTCACTGGGCTCTTGCGGTCATGATCTGTTCTGAATGTCGCTTTGTCGTCTTTGAAGCTCTTGCTATTTTGACCTCACTTGATAGGTTCAAAAGCTGCTCTGCATGTGTCCAGTCGATTTCCACGGGATCTTCCAGTTAGATGAGAGGCGGAGAGACGCAGTCATCGCGTTGGGCATTTTTCTCATTGAATCTGATCTCCAGGTAAGCCTGTTCTGGAAGCTTCTACAGTATGGAAGGGTTATAATGAGGGTTTGCATCTGTGTCTGCTGAGAGCACGTTCAAGCCTAGTCAGAGCGGTAGATGGGGGCAGCTGGGACAGCAAGCCTTCACAATACACACCTTCTCAGCACACTTGTTCTTTTAGATTATATGACTGTATTATGTTGTTTAAAAAGAGAGGTGTTTTTTCTTTTGCTCTGTTCTTCTTCTTCTTTTTTTTTTTTTTTGTGTAAAGTAAGTTTAAGTGCTTTGACTTGTAATAGCATATTCTTTAGAGTAGATTTGGTTTTATTTTCTTTTTCTTTTTTTCTTAATTTGTTACAGGACATGTATGCTTACCAGAGAGAGACAAAGAGAAAGGGAAAGTGAGAAAGCAAGCCACCACATCTGGGACTCAAACCGCAGTTGGCCATGTGGGAGTCCAGCACCTTAACCATTATGTCACCTGCTGTCCCTAGACTTGGTTTTCTTTTTTCCTTCTTTTCTTTTTTTTTTTTTTTTTTTTTGAGAGGTGTTTTGCTATAGGGCATGTGTGCTCACCAGACAGAGACAGACAGAGAGACGGAAAGCGAGAAATCACCTCCCGGGGGGATGGCCACACTGCAATCCCTTCTCCTCCATTCTCTTCTCTGGATCTTGGGCACGCACGCACACGCGCCCAGCATGAGTTCAAGCCACTGGGTCCGGGACTTGAACCATGATCAACTACATGGAGTCTGGTGACATAGCCATTATGGCATCTGTTGGTCCCCCTAGACTTGGTTCTCAATCTCGGGTGAATCTCTCATCAGTCAGCCTCAGGTTTACCATTTTTTTCCTTCCAAAATGTCAGAATCATTTGAATAATTTTAAAAAATACATTAATTTATTTCCTCCGTAAGAGAGAGCCATCAGGGTCCTCTTACCCCCACCCACCCCCGTCTCAGGCTGCCCAGCTCACATGGGCGTGTGCCCGGCGTACTCAGGGAAGCCCCAGCATAGGAACATTTCCCCTGCGGTCCGAGCTGCTCTACTGCTGTGCTACCATCTGGCCCTTAGATAATTTTGATAGAATGTCTTTATGTTATTTTTCTAGGTTTTTGCCATAGGGCAAGTGCATTCACTGGAGAGACAGAGAGAGAAGGAAAGTGAGAAATCCGGGGGACGGGGGGGTGGCTGGCCATGCTTCCTTCTCCATTCTCCTCTCCGGGTTTGGGGCATGCACACACACACACCCAGTGTGGTTCTCCAGCTGCCAGGTCTAGGATTTGAACTGTGTCATCGGCCACGTGGGACACAGCACCTTAACCATCATGCCACCTTCTGGCCTGATAGAACATCTTTTTCAAAACCGTGATACATGCAGATTAAGTTTGAGAGTACATGTTAATGTGCCTTTTTGTTTTTAAGATTTATTTTATTATTTCAGTTTGATCAGAGAGGGACAGACAGAGCAAGAGTGGTGGCTGAGGGGTGGGTGGGAAGGAGCAGTGAGAAAGCAATCCACTAGGTCCAGGACTCAAACCTCAGTTGGGGGAACCAGCAGTTACTGTAATGGCTATGTCTCTGGAATCCCACAGTCAACCGCGGTTCGCATCCCAGACCCGGTGGCTTAAAACTCACGCCAGGCGCGTGTGCGTGCGTGCCCAAGATCCTGAGAGGAGAATGGAGGAGAAGGGATTGCGGCATGACCATCCCCCCTGGGGGGTGATTTCTCGCTTTCTGTCTCTATGTCTCTCTCTGTCTGTCTGGCGAACGCACGCACCCTATAGCAAAAACCTCTCCAAAAAAAAAGAAAAGAAAAAAACTGCAGTCGGCCACATGGGAGTCCAATGCCCTTCACCACCACACCACCTGCCACCCTAATGTGCTTTTTAATAGGGATTAGAAAAACCTGTAGCTCCAACAGAAAATGGTGACTGTTGTTGGTGTTGCTTTAATATTTACCAAAGCCATCTGAAGCCAGTTGGCCCCAAAAAAGATTTTTTAAAAATTTAAAAGGAAGGAAAGGGGAACCAGCAGATGGCATAGTGGTTAAGATGCTGGACTCCCACATGACTGACTGCAGTTCAAGTCCTAGACCTGGCAGCCCGAAAGTCACAGTGGGCACGTGTGCATGCTTGCCAAAAATCCTGAGAGGAGAATGGAGCAGAAGGGATTGCCATATGGCCAGTCCCCCCACGGAGGGTGGATTTATCTCATTCCCTCTGTCTCTCTCTGGTGAGTGCACACACTCTGTGGCAAAAATCTTTAAAAAAATAAAATAAAATAAAGAGGAAGAAGAAGGAGGAGGAAAGAGGAGACAAGAGACATGAACAGCAAGAAACAGTACATAGCTGAGCACCTGTGGCTACAAGATTTTGTCCAGAGCTAAAATCTTATCCTGGGCCTATTGGTGAGCTTTGGTGTTTTCTTTTCTTTCTTTTTTTAAAAAGTAATTATTTATTTTATTTTATTCATTCATTTATTTTTTAGTTTGACCAGAGAGAGACAGAGGGCAAGAGTGAGAGAGAGAGGAAGTGAGAAAGCAAGCCACCAGATTCAGGGAACCTGTAAGCGGCCAGGTGGGAGTGTCCAGCACCTTAACCACTACGCCACCTGCTGGTCCCTGGCTTTGGTGTTTTCTGAATGTCTTTAACTGGAGACAGCTTTGAGAGTGGCACACACATTACTTTTTCTTTTTCTTTTTCTTTTTTTTTTTTAAGAGAGATTTTTGCTGTAGGGTGCATGCACTTGCCAGAAAGACAGAAAGTGAGATATCACCCCCAGGGAGGATGGCCACACTGCAGTCCCTTCTCCTCCATTCTCCTCTCGGGATCTTGGGCACGCACGCACACACACACACACACAGAGACACACGCAGACATACGTGCCCAGGTGTGAGTTTAAGCTGCCAAGTCCAGGATGCCAACTGTGGTCAACTACGTGGGAGTCCAGCAATGAAGCCACCATGCCTTCTGCTGGTTCCCACACAAAGCTTTTCCTGAGGGGTTTCATAGGGGCCTGAGCAGCCTGGGCCCTTAGCTCTGGAGGGCAGGTTTGAGCCCTCCATGGGACCCTGGGGTGCAGACTGGCATGACGGCCTCTGGGCACTGAAGTGGGAACAGGCAGGGTATGAGGCCGTGTGGACTTAACGTGTGCTGTACGTTTTCCCCGAAGAGTCTTCCAGATGACCAGGATGAAGGTACACTTTGCTTTGGACTTAATCTATGCTAAAATGCTCCCAGTCACTCATTTTATTAAATATGCTCTTTTTTTTGTTTCTTTCAGCACAAAGACTGTGTGGTTCCTTACCTTCTTCGACTTCTCAGAGGTCTTCCCAAAGTGTATTGGGTAGAAGAAAGCACAGCTCGGAAAGGCAGAGGTAATCACAGTTAGGGTATTTCCTGAATGCAAGGAAGAATATGGATCTTCAGTGTCTGCATGGACAAGTGTTCCTCCTACTGCATCAGTTGGGGTGCCTCTGGGGGGGTCCCACTCCTGGCTGTGGGACAGCTGACCACCCGCAGCAGTCTGGGCTGGACTTCCGGGCTGTTCATTGGAGCCTCAGGGCAGGGGAGAGAGGACAGGCTGGGCAGGCTGGCCTTCTCTCACATTCTTCTGGTGTGGACGAGACCGTGGCGATCTCTGGAAACCTCTGCTCATGTGTCACGGACCAGGATGGTCACCTGCCCATCCCTAAACTAGTCACCATTGCGTGGAGAGTCATCGGCTTATTCCTGGGGTGAGGTTGGCTCTCCATGTTGCCCTGCTCCTACAGAAGAATGGCGAGATAGGTGCTAGGGATTCAGCCAGGTTCAGTGAGAACGATTTTATTACTTCGTTGCTACTGCTACGTTGCAGTTAAACTTCACACCATTAGAAATGGGGAAAAGTCACGTGTATTTCTCTTTCTTTCTTGGAGAGATTTTTGCTAAAGGGTGTGTGTAATTTGCCAGAGAAACAGGAAGTAAGAAATCTCCCCCACACACACCCTCCTCCCCCAAGGGGGAATGGCCATGCCACAATCTCTTCTCCTCTATTCTCCTGTCGCGATTTTGGGCGCACACACATGCACGCCCGGCATGTTTCAAACTGCTAGGTCTGGAACTTGAACTGTGGTCAACCACATGGGAGTCCAGCACCTTAACCACTATGTCACCTGCTGTCCTTTTTTTTTTTTTTTTTTTAAGAATTATTTATTTTGGGACCAGCAGTCAGCATAATGGCTATATTGCTAAATTCCCACGTAGTTGGCTGTGGTTCGAGTCCCAGACCAGGTGGCTTAGACTCACGCTGGGCGCATGTGCGTGCGTGCCCAAGATCCCAAGAGGAGAATGGAGAAGGGATTGTGGCGTGGCCATCCCCCTTGGGGGATGATTCTCGCTTTCTATCTCTCTGTCTGTCTCTGTCTTTCTGGCGAGCGTACGGGCCCTATAGCAAAAACCTCTCAAAAAAAAAGAAAAGGAATGATTTATTTTTAAAATTATTATTATTCAGTTTGAGCAGAGGAAGGGAGGGAAAAGACAAAGCAAGCAGGCAGGTCTGGGACTTGAACCGTAGTTGGCCATGTGGGAGTCCAGCGCCTTAACCACCACCACATTTTGTTTTTAAGTTTTTTGTTTTCTTTATTCATGATACAGTGTGTGCCAGGCATATGAGAGTGAGGGAGAGACAGAAACAGACAGAGAGATAAGAGCCACCCCAGGGTCCAGTTGTGCTGTAATCCCTTCCCTCAGACCTCCAGCTCTTCCCACCTTTGGTGCTCATGTACATGCTAGGTGTGTTTTGAGCAGACCAGGTTGGAGATTTGAACCACAGTTCAAATGGGATCCGGCCTTCGTTTATGCAGTGTATTGTTGTTGCACCATTGACCGGCCTCACAAATACTTCATTTTTTTTTTTTGAAGAGGTTTTTGCTATAGGGGTGTGTGCACTCGCCAGACAGAGACAGAGAGAGACAGAGAGACAGAAAGCGAGAAATCACCCCCCAGGGGGGATGGCCATGCCACAATCCCTTCTCCTCCTTTCTCCTCTTAGAATCTTGGGCACTCATGCACACGCGCCCGGCGTGAGTTTAAGCCACTGGGTCCGGGTCTCAAACTACAGTCGACTACGTGGGAGTCCAGCGACATAGCCATTATGCTAACTGCTGGTCTCACATATTTCATTTTAACTTGTATTTTACTTTGAACTTTTTTTTTTTTTTGAGAGGTTTTTGCTATAGGGTGTGTGTGCTCACCACCAGAAAGACAGAGAGAGATAGAGACAGAAAGCGAGAAATAACCCCCCCGGGGGATGGCCATGCCGCAGTCCCTTCTCAAATGCCATGGTCTTGTTTTTTATGGCCGAGTGGGGTATCCCATGGTTACACTCAGGAGCATCTGCACAGATAAGGCTCCTCCAGCTCCATTTTGCACAGCTGTCATGCAGATGCCTCATATGTCTCCCCCACCGGGCGGTGAGACCTGGAGCACCGCAGAGAAGGACGTGGCGGGCCAAACTGTCCCCCTTTCCGCTGCAGCTCCAGGCGAGAATCCCCTCGCTGTTCTTTGGAGACTCGTTTCAGTGAGGGCTGCTATAAACGGGCGCCTTGGCAGGCCGGGCGGGAGAGGAAACGTGTGCGGCCCGGCCCATCTCACTTCTGACGCTCTGCCCCGTGTCTTCCTGTCTTCCAGGTGCCCTTCCGGTCGCAGAGAGCTTCAGCTTCTGCTTGGTTACTTTGCTGTCCGACGTGGCCTACAGGGACCCTTCACTTGGGGACGAGGTACGCGTGTGACGGCTTGGCCCTGGTTTTCTTTTCATTGGAGAAGTTTTTGCTATAGGACGCGTGTGCTCGCCGGAAAGACAGAGAGAAACAGAGAGTGAGAAATCACCCCAGCGGGCGTGGCCACACCACAATCCCCTCTCCTCCATTCTCCTTTCGGGATCTTGGGCACGCATGCACATGCGTCCAGCGCGAGTGAGTTTAAGCCACCAGGTCTGCGACTCAAACTACAGTTGAGTAGTTTTCATACCAAAACTAATACGAAATGGAAAAAAATGGAAAAAGTATCATTGCTGTTTAGGCCTTAGATTATTCAGGATTATTTACTATTCAGAAAATGTAAGAAATTTGACTTGGTTCTAAACAAGCCATATTCAACCAACTTCATTTCTTCTATGCTCAGGTTTGTTTGTTTTTAAGAGGATTTTGCTCACTGGATAGAGAGACAGTGAGAGGGAATGTGAGAAATCACCCCCTAAGGGGGAAGGCCACGCTGTGGTCCCTCTAATCTCCCCTCAAGATTTTAGGCACACATGCACGTGTGCCTGGTATGTTTTTTTTTCTTTTTTTTGAGAGGTTTTTGCCATAGGGCGCGTGTGCTCGCCAGACATACAGAAAGACAGAGACAGAAAGCAAGAAATCACCCCTCAGGGGGGATGGTCACGCCGCAATCCCTTCTTCTCCATTCTCCTCTCAGGATCTTGGGCACACATGCACACGCGCCCGGCGTGAGTTTTAAGCCACCGGGTCCGGGACGCGAACCGCGGTCGGCTACGTGGGAGTCCAGTGACATAGCCATTACGCTAACTGCTGGTTCCTATTCTCCTCTCGGGATCTTGGCATGCACACACACGTGCCCAGGCGTGAGTTTAAGCTACTGGGTCCAAGACTTGAACCATGGTTGACTACATGAGAGTCCTGCAACTTGACCTTACGCTAACTATAAGTCCTGTGCTGGGTATGTTTTTCAGCCTTCCTGGTCTGGAACTCAAACCACAGAGTTGGCCATGTGAGATCCAGTGCCTTCATCACCACGCTACCTGCTGGCTCCCGTTCAGATTCTTGTCCTCTCTGTGTGCTGTTCCTTCATCCCGGGAATGGGGTAGAACCCTTCTAGAATGAGGGCCTTAATGGTGGGATAAGGTGGCAGTTTCGATGACCCATCTTGGAGGGGATGAAAGAAGAACAGATGGTCTCTCCCTTTTGCCTCTCTGAAGCTCTTCTGAAACTGCTTCAGAAACCAAGGACAAAAGGCTTGATTTTAAGTCTCATTCTTTTTTTTTTTTTAATAATTATTTTACTTTTACTTTATTTATTTTAATTTGGCCAGCGTGGGGGGAGGGGGAGAGAGTGAGAAAGCAAACCGCCAGGCCTGGGACTCGAGCTACAGTCAGCCATGTAGGAGTCCAGCCCCTTTAACCACCAAGCCACCTGCTGGCCCGAAAGCCTGATTCTTATAAGCAAGGAACCATGGGTGAAAACCAAAACCCCAACACCAAAAGCAAATCTCTCTCTGTATGTATATGTATACATATCTATCATAATACCACAGGAACCTGTCACCTGTTTGCAGAGTATGGAGAAAGAGGTGGCCCAGGGGCTGGTGCACACAAGCCCCAGGAGGACAGTGTTGGCCCAGCCCGGAGAGGGAAGGTGTCTGTCTCTGCGATGTCAACTGGTTGGCCAGTTGACATGGCTGTTGTGAAGGGGTGTATCAGATTTAGGGTTGGTTAAGATAAGGTCTAAAACCTCTTCTCATTCTGAATTAATTTTTCTGACATTTATTTGATTTTATCTGTAAGTTGATTTCTGTTTTTGTTTCCTCGACTCCTACAGATTTTAGAAGCACTTTTGCAGGTTTTGCACGTCCTTTTGGGAATGTGCCAAGCCTTGGAGATCCAAGAAAAAGGTACGATTATAGAACTGTAGGGCTTCTTCTCTCCCCATGCTTGTCTTTTTCTAGTCCTCTTTCTTTCTTTCTTTCTTTCTTTCTTGCTTTCTTTCTTTTTTATTTTTATTTTTTGGAGAGGTTTTTGCTATAGGGCGCGTGTGCTTGCCAGAAAGACAGAGAGAGACAGAGAGACAGAAAGCGAGAAATCACCCCCCAGGAGGGATGGCCACGCCGCAATCCCTTCTCCTCCATTTTCCTCTTGGGATCTTGGGCACACACGCACACGCGCCCGGCATGAGTTTAAGCTACTGGGTCCAGGACTCGAACTGCAGTCGACTACATGGGAGTCCAGCAACATAGCCATTACGCCAACTGCTGGTCCCTCTAGTCCTTTTTCATTTGGTTCTATCTAACATGTACCTGATGGACGTACGCCTCCCTGTTTGGTTCTGTTTGTTGTGCATTAGTATATTCAGAGGGGCCGTGAACGGTTCTACCACATAAACGCTGTGTGACCAAGGACGAGTCACTCCACTCTCCGTTTCTTCACCCGTAACATGTCGGGGAGGACTTGTTGACTTCTGAAGGTCACTGTTGCTTTACTCTAAGGGTAATGATATAATTCCAAAAAATAGAAGCATAGGGTTGAAGTACCGTCCAGGGATCGATCCCATGACCCAGTGGCATGATCGGTTTGGATTCCCATGAGTAGGTCGAGGAGAGCAGCCATGTGTGATGGAGGTGGAGCCTGGCACGGTGGTTAACGACAAGTTGAGAAGTCCCTGGTCAGCCCCCAGGGTTGGCCCTGCTACTGTGGCTTCTTCTGCACCGTCACATAGCGGTGGGTGGGCCGTTGGTACAGTGGCTCTCTCCCTGTGACTGTCTCATAACGTCACCTTCTCACCTGGCCTTCTAGAATACCTGTGCAAGTACGCGATCCCCTGCCTGATTGGAATCTCGCGAGCGTTTGGGCGTTACAGCACCACGGAAGAGTCTCTCCTCTCGAAGCTCTTTCCCAAAGTCCCCCCTCATTCCCTGCGAGTCCCAGAAGAGCTCGAAGGTGTTCGGCGGCGTTCTTTCAATGACTTCCGCTCCATCCTGCCCAGCAACCTGCTGACGGTCTGTCAGGAGGGCACCCTGAAGAGGAAGACCAGCAGCGTGTCCAGTATCTCTCAGGTGAGCTGGGCTCCTGGAGAGGAGCCGGGGTCTCACCAGGGAAGGAGGGAGAGATACGCAGAGAAAGAGAGAGGTCATTTTGACAGGGCCTTACCATGTCACAGTCGTCCTGCCCGGCCTCCTAGTTACGTAGGAAGTAAGTGTGCGCTGTGCCAGTCCCATGTAGGTTGGGCCAGGAACCAGACCCAGGCCTCTTGTGTGGCCTCAGCCACACACAGTGGAACGGTGTCCCTGCTGGTGCCACCACCCTGGGCCACCCAACTGCTCTGAGCAGAAGCCAGCCGGTGCATTTAAGACGTGTGTCATTGGAGAGAGCTCAGTTCTCTTTCCCATGATACAAGATATCTGGCAGGTGAAAAAGCTGTGAAGCAGGATGCTAAGGAAAAGAAACCCGAAGCCAAGAGACTGATGCCAGTGGCCAGGTTAAAATGGGTGACCCAAGGCTAAAAACCCCAAGAAGGGGAAGCCCCATTGCAGCTGATTCCCGGTCCTAGTCCAGGGCATTGGCAGATATTCCCAGTCTGCCTTGTATTCCAGGAAAGCCATGAACAAGAAGGAATACTCAGCCAGTAAATCCAAGATCGAAAAGAAAAAGAAGGAGAAGGTTCTTATCACTGTCACAAAAATGGTTGGTGGAGACAAGAATGGAGGTACCTGGTGGTTAAACTTTGCAAAATGCCTAGGTGTTATCCTACTGAAGATGTGCCTCGAAAGCTGTTGAGCCGTGGCAAAAAATCCCTTCAGTCAGCATGTGAGAAAGCTACAATCCAGCATCACTCCCGGGACCATTCTGATCATCCTCACTGGATGCCACAGAGGCAAGAGAGCGGTTTTCTGAAGTAGCTGAGCAGTGGCTTGCCACTTGTAACTGGACCGCTGGTCCTCGATAGAGTTACACTGTATAGAACACACCAGAAATTTGTCATTGCTACCTCCATGAAAATTGATATTAGCAAAGTAAATATCCCGAAACACCTTACTGATGCTTGCTTCAAGAAAGAAGCTGCAGGGAACCAGTAGTTAGTGTAATGGCTATGGTGTTGGACTCCCACGTAGTCGACCGCGGTTCGCGTCCCGGACCCGGTGGCTTAAAACTTGTGCCGGGCGCATGTGCGTGCGTACCCAAGATCCCGAGAGGAGAATGGAGGAGAAGGGATTGCGGCGTGGCCATCCCCCCTGGGGGGTGATTTCTCGCTTTCTGTTTCTCTGTTTCTCTCTGTCTGTCTAGCAAGCGCACGTGCCCTGTAGCAAAAACCTCTCCAAAAAAAAAAAAAAAGAAAGAAAGAAACTGCAGAAGCCCAGACACCAGGAAGGCGACATCTTTGACACAGAGAAGGAGGAAGAGAGATTACAGAGCAGCACAAGGTTGATCAGAAAACTGTAGACTCATAAATTTTACCAGAAATCACAGCTGTCCCTCAGCTCCAGGGCTACCTGCGGTCCATGTTTGCCCTTACAGCTAGAATTTGTCTTCACAAATTGGTGTTCTAAATTTCTTGCCAAGAACCTAACTAAATAACTGATCATAAATAAATAAAAAGCAGAAGTAGTATATGATTAGGGCGGGGACCAGAAGATGGCATTGTAGTTATGTCGCTGGACTCCCATATGGCCAACTGTGGTTCAAGTCCCAGACTTGGTATCTTCAGAAATCACACCAGGTGCATGCGTGTGCGTGCCCAAGGTCCTAGGAAGAGAATGGAGGAGAGATTGCAGTGTGGTCATCTCCCCGGGGGGTGATTTCTTACATTCCCTCTCATCATGACTCTCTCCTGTGAGCACACATGCCCTAAGGCAGGGAAAAAAAACAAACAAAAAACCTCCTAAGAAGTACATAATGGACTCACCCGAAATACTGAAAACAATCGGCTTAGTAATCATGAATAGAATACAAAGGGTCTTCACAACGCTTATGGAAAATAGGTATTAGGTCGTTGGAAAAGTCATGATATGTTTTTTCATATTTTTCTATGCAAAAATGGGTCATGACTTTTCTAATGACTCGACGCTGAAAAAACTATGCAGGGATTTCAAAATTTTCTTGCACCAAAATAAACTCATACTTTAATTTATTTTCCAACTTTTTGACAACCCCTCATATGTGGCTAGACAGAAAAAAAAAATGTCATGATCTAGCATGTAGTAGAGAATGCTATGATGCTGTAACCACAGTGGGCTTCCAGGGGGAAGAGAGACTCGAACCAGATCTTGAAGTACAGACGCCGGGCTGGCAGGAAGAACCTTGTCTAAGGCCTCTCACTGCAGCCTCAGTGGCCTGGTCTGATCTCTGACTGTGATTGTGTGTTTCAGGTCAGCCCTGAACGTGGCATGCCCCCTCCTGGCTCCCCTGGAGGATCGGCCTTTCACTATTTTGAAGGTGGGTTTCACCTCTCCGCCAGGAATAGTGACCTGAGGACCAGCAGGTGGCGTAGTGGATAAGGTGCTGGACTCCCACGTGGTTGACGGCACTTTGAATCCAGGACACAGCAACTTGAAACTCTTTCTGGGCGTGTGCGCATGCGTGCCCCAAATCCCTAGATGAGAATGGAGAAGGGATTGCTGTGTGGTCATTCCCCCTGTGTGGGGGGGTGGATTTCTCACTTTCTCTCTTGCAAGTGCATGCACCCTATAGCAAAAATCTCTCTCTCAAAAAAACAACAAAAAACAGGAATAGTGAGTACTCAGAGAGCAGGATCTCGGAGACTATTGCTTTGGATGTTCAGGGTGCTCAGATGAACTCTCTCCTGACACCACAGGCCGTGGGCCGGCCCGGCTGGTTCTTAGGCTGCTCCCCAGCATCCTGGCCCTTGGAGTGTTGTTACCCGTCCTCTCCTGCTGTGAGCTGCTGCTTCACCTTCGTCTTGGGGCAGATCAGCGTTGCCCTCAGCATTGTAGAATTATACGCCAGCCGGGACACAGTCAGGGTTAAACTCAGCTCTGCTTTTTCTGTACTCAGGTGCTTGAGAAAACCATGAAACCAGGGGCCAGCAGGTGGCGAGGTGGTTAAGGGCACTGGACTCCCACCTGGCCGACCATGGTTTGAGTCCTGGACCTGGCGACCTGCTTCTTTACTTTCTCTGTCTGTCTCTCGCTCTGTCCCTCTCTGGTTAGTTAAATAAATGACTATCCTTAAAAAAAGTTTAAAGAAGAAAGAAAGCCATGAAACTTATCTAGTTCCTTATATGTGTGCGTGTATAATATATACATATTCTTTGTTATTACCTAATATGAAAATAATAAAAGCTTCTTCTCCAATTTTAGTTTTCTGTTAAGTTTTTAAGTGATTGATTGCCAAACAATTATATGCTATTGGGTTCATATTTGTTAAGCATTAGGTGTCTGAAAAACTTTTCTTTCTTGTTATTTTTCCTCTGATTTTTTTTTTTTTTTAAGTTGCTGAAGGGCCCATGAACTCACCAGAGAGAGAAAAGAAAGAAGGCACCCCTTGATGGGGTGTGGCCGTGCTGCAGTCCTTTGCCCCTCATTCCTTCATCTCACCAGGATTTGGGGCACACATACACACGTCGTCTGTGCATGCGTGTGTGTGCGTGTGCACACACTTTAGTTTCGGTATAGGGTGCATGTGCTCAGTGGGGAGAGAGAAAGTGAGAAATTGCCAACCAAGGGGGACGGCCTCGCCACAGTCTTCTCCTCCATTCTCCCCATAGGGTTTGGGGCACGTGTGGGTACTCGCCCAGCATGTTTCTCAAGCCTCCCAATCCAGGACTCGAGTCGTGCAGTGAGCCCTGTGGGATCCAGCCACCTTAACCCCCATGCTGCTTGCTGGCCCCTGTCCAGTGGACTTTTTGCATTTTTCAGATCACCAGGGCTGGGATTTGAACTGTAGTGAGCCATGTGGTATTTGACTCCCTCAGCACTGCACCTGACTGCTGTACTGAGTCCAGCCCTCTCTGATTTACTTTTATGGCGATAAAAATATACAGCCTAAGAGTTGCCATCTTCACCATCTTTCATACATTTTATTTATTATTATCTTAATTTGCTGTAGGGTCCATGCACTCCCCAGAGAGACAGAGAGAAATTTCACAAGACGAGGAGAGTTCTGGAGATGAATAACGGTGATGGCTGGGCGAAAGGATGAAATATATTGAACATCACCGAACCGTGCATTTAAAAAGTGTCCCGATGGTGCAGTCCCAGCAGTGCAGATGGTAGCGCGATAGCATGGTAGATCTGCAGCGCTGGAAGCCACAAGGCTGACCATGGTTCGAGTCCCAGACCCGGTGGCTTGAAACTCACGCCAGGCGTGTGTGTGCGTGTGCCCAGGAGCCCAAGAGGAGAATGGAAGAGAAGGGATTATAGCATGGCCATCCCCTTTTGGCCCTTATAGAACACATGTGTCCTATAGCAAATTTTAGAATAATAATAATAAAGTTAAATAATAACTCTTTGTAAACTATTCATTTTTTTTTCTTTCCCAGATGTTAAATTATATTGTCTGGTTGAAAACATCAGGACGTGATTATATATGAGCCTTTGACCCGAAATACCTCACTCCCCTAGAATTCGCAGTCCAGCCTTTACTTCTTAATTTAAAAACAAGCAAGGAATTAGCGTACTTAAACAAAAGCAGCAGCCGCATTTGCTGGTAATTGGAACAGCAGCTCAAGGAAGCGTGCTGGTCAGGCAGTGGGGACTGTGGCTCACTTTCTGGTCTTCTCTCCCATCAGCCTCTTGCTTGCCTGATGGGACGGCGCTGGAGCCTGAGCACTACTTCTCCACCATCAGCTCCAGCTTCTCCGTCTCTCCCCTGTTCAATGGCGTCACCTACAAGGAGTTCAACATTCCGCTGGAGATGCTCCGGGAGCTCTTAAACTTGGTAAGCCGGCCGCTGACCGTGTCGTAAAACTGCTCAGAGTGAAAGCCTGCGTCTTTCTCAAGAGAATCTTGGAGTACCTGCATAAAAGGTCTTCCAAAAGTTCACCCAGAAGGGCCAGCGGGTGGGGTGGCATTTGAGGCACTGGGCCCTACGTGGCCGATTGTGCGGTTCAAATCCCAGACCCCGTGGCTTGAAAGACACGCCAAGCGCAGGTGTGCATGCCCTATGGCAAAAATCTAAACAAACCTAAAAATGATTTTTCTTTGTTTATGATACTGTGTGTCTGCATGCACATGAAAGGGGGTGAAGGGTCACATGCGATCCTCGCCCTCTGGTCCTTCAGCCCTTCAGATCTTGGGGATTCTAGCACATGCCCACTGTGTGTTGGGCTGACTGTGTCAGGGACTTGAACCGCAGTTGTCCTGTGGGATCCAACTTCTCTGCTGAGCGTACGTTACTACTGCACCCCGGAGTCAGTCCTCCTGAACAGACATATGTGTCCCATTGTCGTTTGGTTCTTTTTGCCGTAACTCTGGGCCCCCTCAGCAGCGACCCCCAGTCTAGGCCATTCTTCAGCTGTGCTGGTCACCCTTACAGTTGAACGTTTCAGAAACCTGCAGCCTCTCACTGCCTGTGAAGCAAAGACCACGCCCCACCCCCTTTTCTCTTTAAGGATTTTCCCATAGGGTGCATATGCTCACCAGAGAGAAAGTGAGCAATCACCCCTCGAGGTGACAGCCACACCACAGTCCCTTCTGAGTACTCACACACAGGAGGCCCAGAGTGGTTCTCAAGCCACTAGGTCTGGGACTCATACCGTGGTTGACGATGTGGAGTACAACACCTTAACCACCAAGCCCACCTGCTGGCCCCAAATGCACTTTAATTTTTATTTTGTATTTTTTTAAAGAATTCTTTTATTTAACTTTTTTATTAATTTGCTTTTATTTGGCCAGAGATGGGCAGAGTGAGAGAGGAGAGAGAGAGAGAAAGAGAGAAAGCAAGCTGCCAGGTCCAGGACTTGAACTGTAGTTGGCCATATGGAAGTCCAGCACCCTTAACCACCACACCACCTGCCGGCCCCACACTTTATTTTTTGTAAAGAACTTTTTTATTTATTTAATTTTATTTGTTATTATTATTATTATTTTGGAGAGGTTGGAGAGGTTTTTGCTAGAGGGTGCATGCGCTTGCCAGAAAGACAGAGAGAGACAGAGACAGAAAGTGAGAAATCACCCCCCAGGGGGGATGGTCACACCACAATCCCTTTTCCTCCATTCTCCTCTCGGGATCTTGGGCACACACACACACGTGCCCAGTGTGAGTTTAAGCCACTGGGTTTGGGACTTGAACCACAGTTGACTACATGGGAGTCCAGTGACATAACTGTTATGCCAACTGCTGGTCCCATTATTATTTTATTTTATTTTATTATTATTATTATTTTAAAGAGGTCACATCATTATTATTTTTTTTAAGTGTGACCAGAGAGAGACAGAAAGAGAAAAAGGGAAAGTGAGAAAGCAAGCCACCAGGTCCGGGACTTGAACCACAGTCAGCCATGTATGAGTCCAGTGCCTTTAACCATCATGCCACCTGCTGACCCTGCACTCTCTCTTTTTTTTTTTTAACACTAAAATTATTTATTTAATTAATTTATTCATTCATTTGTTTTAATTTGACCAGAGAGAGAAAGTGAGAAAGCAAGCCACCAGATTTGGGACTCGAACTGTGGTTGGCCATGTGGGAGTGTCCTGTACCTTAACCATCATGCCAGCTACTGGTCCCTGCACTTTTTTTTTTTAAAGTTCATTTCTTTCTTTCTTTTATGAGTGAGTCTGATGACACCCCCAAATGATTTTGATGCCACGATCCACGCCCGGCCTCAGTCAGCCCGATCACAGGTGGGAGGCCTACTCGAGGGTATCGGACTTGAACCAGGAGCCGCCCGTGCGCGATTGCCTTGCAGAGCGTCATGCTGTACTCCTTAGCCACTGTCTGGCCCCCTTTCAGTTTGAAGTTATTCCTATCTAGTAAGAAAGGACGTCCCAAGTGAGGGCAGAATTAAGAGCATTTGGGGGTCAGTGGATGGCATAGTGGTTACGTCGCCGGACTCCCACATGACTTACTGCAGTTCAAGTCCCAGACTCAGTGACTTAAAAATTATACCGGGCAAATGTGCGTGCACGCCTAAGATCCGGGGAAGAGAATAGAGGAGAAAGGATGCGGACTGGCCATGCCCTGGCTGCTGATTTCTCACTTTCCCTCTCTTCATCTCTGTCTTTTCTCTCTCTCTAGCAAATGCATGCACTCTAAGGCAAAAAACCTCTTAAAAAAAAAAAAAGAAAAGAAAAAAAAGAAAGAATTAAGGGCATTTTGTGCAAGTATGGGGTTGTCGGAAAAGTCATGTATTTTTTCCTATGTGAAAATGAGTCATGACTTGGGAACCAGCAGTTAGCATAATGGCTGTGTCGCTGGACTCCCACGTAGTCGACTGCGGTTCGCGTCCCGGACCCGGTGGCTTAAAACTCACACCAGGCACGTGTGCGTGCGTGCCCAAGATCCCGAGAGGAGAATGGAGGAGAAGGAATTGCGGCGTGACCATCCCCCCTGGGGGGTGATTTCTTGCTTTCTGTCTCTCTCTCTCTCTCTCTGTCTAGCGAGTGCACACGCCTTATAACGAAAATCTCTCAAAAGAAAAAAAAAATGAGTCACGACTTTTCCGGTGACCCAGCAGTCCGTGACAGAGAGCCATGGCGTGCGTATCATCAGCCTGTTGTTTTGTCACGTTTTCACCCCGAGTTTGTTACGGGTTTTATCTGTCCACACGATCTGTCCTGGGGTAGATGAAGCTGGTGTGCCGTCCCTCCCTGTGTCAGTGACTTCATGAGGCTGTGTTTCCCTGCTAGGTGAAGAAGATCGTCGAGGAGCCTGTTCTCAAATCGCTGGACGCAGTCGTAGCCAGCGTGATGGAGGTAGGTCCCTGCCGAGCGCACTCCCGCCACGTCGGGCCGATGTGCACAGTTGCAGGGAGGAAGCAGGTGCTCGTGTGGCAGCTGGAGTGACAGGTGTGGCGGTGAGCTTTCTGCTTAGCTCCTGGTGCCACGTAATGGCACGTCAGCTGCTGAGTGCTCGCTCTGTGCTGGGAGCTGTGCCAGGCCCTTCTCAGTGTGTCCCCTCGTGGTGCCTCTGACCAGCCGTCAGTGTCTCAGACTTGGGCATGCATGCACATGCGTCCAGCATGATTTTCAAGCCACTGGATCTGGGACTCAAACCACATGTGGGAATTTAGTGATGTGACTGCTATGCCATCGCTGGCCCGGCCCCAGTGTTTGCTCCTTTTACAAGGCCTGGTCTGGAACAGAACACTGCTCAGCATGGCCTCAGCACGCAAGGCAGAGGGCATGGGAGGGTTCTGTCCCGTGGTCACATGTCTCTGCCCCTCCTCCCTCAGGCCAACCCCAATGCTGACCTCTACTACACGACCTTCAGCGACCCCCTCTACCTGGCCATGTTCAAGATGCTGCGCGACACCCTGTACCACATGAAGGGTAGGACGCTTTGGGGGTGTGCGGACGAGTGCAGGGAGACAGGCTCCTGGGCTGCTGTCCCAGGCTGGTGCCGGCTTTCTGCGGGGTCATTAACAACCACACGAATGCCATGGTCACATGACTGAAATTTGGGGGGGAAAGCAAATAAGGAAAAATATCTGTCCAGGATCCTGCAATCCTAGTACCATCAATGACGGCTTTTGTGATTAGTTTATTTCCCTGGCTATTTTCTTCTAAATAAGAAGAAAATGAGGTATGCACAACTTTGTAACTCAGGGCGAGCCTTTTTTTTTAGATTACAAAACTCGAGTGTTTTTATTTATTTATTTTTGTTGTATTCAGATTAATTTTACATGAAGTCCCCAACCGGTGGTGTAATGGTTTTGTCGCTGGACTCCCATGTAGTCTACCGCATTGCGAACCCCAGACCCATCAGCTTCAAACTCACGCTGGGCATGTGTGCTTGCATGCCCAAAATCCCGAGAGGAGAGTGGAGGAGAAAGGATTGCAGCATGGCCATCCACTCTCCGGGTGATTTCCTACTTTCTATCTCTCTCTGTCTCTCTCTGTCTTTCCAGTGAGTGCATGCACCCTATAGCAAAAATCTTCCTTAAAAAAATAATAAAATAAATATATATGTTTATGTACTTTTCTTTCTTTTTTAGGTTTTTGCCATAGGGTACATGTACTCTCCAGAGAGACAGAAACAGAGAGAGGGATAGTGAGAAATCACCCTCTGGGGGAATAGCCACACTGCAGTCTCTTATCTTCCATTCTCCTGGGCTTTGGGGCATGCATGCACATGCATCTGGTGTGATTTTCTTTTTCTTTTTCTCTTTTTTAACGTTTTTGCCACAAGGCGTATGCATGTGCCAGAGGGAAACAGAGAGACAGTGTGAGGGAAAATGAGAACGCACCCCCACAAGGGGGCCCCAAGGGGGTTAGTTGCACTGCAGTTCCTTCTTCTCAATTCTCCTCTCGGGATTCTGGGCACATGTGTACATGTGCCTGGCATAGTTTTCAAGCCACTGGGTCTGGAATTCAAACCATGGTTGGCTTGGTTCTAGAGCCTTAACCACCACGCCACCTGCTGGCCCGCCCTTCCCTACCCACCCCTGCATAATTTTCAAGCTGCCAGGTCCAGGACTCAACTGCAGTTGGCCATGTGGGAGTCCAGCACCTTAACCACCACACCACTTGCTGGCCCCTATCTATCTGTCTATATAGTTTTTAAATAATTATTTTATTTTATTTTATTCATTGTCATTTTCTTTTTTCTTTTCTTTTTTTGAAGTTGACCAGAGATAACAGAAGGAAAGTGAGAAAGTAAGCTGCCAGGTCAGGGACTCGAACTGTGGTTGGCCATGTGGGAATGTCCAGAGCCTTAGCCACCATGCCACCTGCTGATCCCACCCAGCTTATCTTTCAGCCTTGAGGTCTGGGACTGGTACCATGTATTTGATTGTGTGGGATGTAGCTTTCTTAACCACCACGCCACCTGCCAGACCCTGCCTCTGTGTGTGTGTGTGTGTGTGTGTGTGTATACACATACATACATATACACACACTCATACACACACGTGTGTGTTTACAGAGAACTTCACATTTTTTTTGTCTTCTAAAGGTTTCTTCCCTTTGTGCCTCACACCCACTCCCTACCACCCACTCTCGCCCCTTACAGTCTCTGCTCTCTGCCCTGATCCTGTCCACTGTCGTATCTTCAGATCTTTTGATTTCTGCGAGTGCAGATAGTACGAATGAGCGAGGCTATACGGTGTGCATCTTTTAAAGTCCGGGTCAGTTCGCTTGACACTGAGTCTTCTACGTTCATCTACTCTCAGCGATGTCTCTTTTTTCCTTCAGATTTTTGCTATAGGATGTGTGCGCTTGCTGGAGAAAGAGAGAGAGAGAGAGCGAGCTCCTCCCAAAGGGATCGCCACACTGCAGTCTCTTCTCCTCAGTTCTCCTGTGGGATTTTGGACATGTGTGCGCACGCACTGGGCATGTTTTTCAGGCCACCAGGTCCAGGACCGGAACTGCACAGTTGGCCACGTGGGACTGGCTGGCCCGACTTCTTTATTTTTTCCGTTGCCAGGGGACACGTACACTCACTCAAGAGAAAGAGAGAGAGCTTCCCCGCAGTGGGGTATGCATCTGCCGCAGTCGTCTCTCCTCCACTTTTCCACCCTGTCAGGATTTTGGATACATGTACATGCACATGTGCTGGCATGCCTTTAAACTGTCAGGCCTGGATTTCAAACCGTGGTTAGCCACGTGGCATCAGCTCCCCACGCATAGCACTTAACTGCCGCACTATGGGGCCACCCCAAAGATGATGTTTTAATAGTTTGCACAGGGACCAGCAGTTAGCGTAATAGCGTTGGACTCCCATGTAGTCAACTGCAGTTTGAGTCCTGAACCCAGTGGCTTAAACTCACACCAGGCGCATGTGCGTGCGTGCCCAAAATCCCGAGAGGAGAATGGAGGAGAAGGGATTGCGGCGTGGCCATCCCCCCTGGGGGTGATTTCTCGCTTTCTGTCTCTCTGTCTCTCTCTGTCTGGCGAGCGCACGCACCCTATAGCAAAAAGCTCTCAAAAAAAAAAAAAGTTTGTCTACACATACAAACATTTAGTGTTTTCTTCCAGTTTCTCTTTCATACAGTTTCTAAACATTTTCTCTATACTCTTCCTCATGTTATAACAGTTTTTCATAAACCTAAGCTTTGTTTGTTTGTATGTTTTTACTATGGGGCACATGCACTCACCAGAGAGAACAGAGATACAGAGAGAGAGAGAGATTGGGAAAGTGAGAAATCACCTCCCAGGGTGATGGCCATGCCACAATTTGGTCTCCCTTCTCCTCTTAGGATTTGGGCATGCACGTATACAGCACACTTGCCTGGTGTGATTGTTTTTTAGCCACTGGCCCAGGACTTAAACCACCGAGTCAGCCATGTGGGATCCAGTGCCTTAACCTCCATGCCACTTGCTGGCCCTATGTAGAAGCTGTGACGACTGCACCCTATTCTGTCCTGTAGGTGTATCATAATTTAGCTAGCCATTTTCCTAATCCAGTTCAGAGAACTCAGAGGAAGCATAGTCTGAGGGACCCCAGCAGGGGTTCGGGTTTACTGAGAAAGGGGTGTCAGAGATTGCCTGGCCTGCCCCGACCTCCAGGATCTCCTGACTTGTCTCTACCCACCTGTGCTCTGGGTTGTTAGCATCCTTGTCTGGCCTGACTGTGTCACAGTGGTCTCTGAATTTTTCTAGGTCCGAAGTTGAAAGTTTGAAAAGTCTGTGAATTCTAGGTGTTCCAAAGATGTAGGGAAGTCTCTCCTTTGGGTTGTAGCCAATTTCTGTCCTCATCTCATTAACTAACACCTTTTAATGTTTTTATTTAAAAGGGATTTTTCTCTACAAGGTGCATGCACTCACTGGAGAAACAGACAGAGAGGGAGAAAGTGAGGAATCACTCCCTGGGGGATGGCCATGCCACAGTCCCTTCTCCTCTATCCTCCTCTCCTCATACACATGCCCAGTGTGAGTTTCAAGCTGCCAGGCCCAGGACTTGAACCAGCCATGTGCTAGTCCGGAGTCTTAACTACTATGCCACCTGCTGGCCCCCAACTTTTTTATCTTTTTAAAGTCACTGAAGTATTTTCTGTCAATGGAACAAGTTCCAGTGGTGATACATCCCAGTGCATGTGTTTTGTGTATCCAAGTTTTAGTTCAAGGCTTAAAAAAAAGCATGGCTCTGACATCCCTGAAACGTTCGTGACCTCCGATTGACAGCTAGAATGGGCATGGGGGACCACTACGAGCAGTCTTTCCACGAAAAAGCTCTTCCCAGCTGGCCTTCTGAGAACCACAGCAGTCAGGAGCAGACACTGCTCTTTGGGGTTTTCGTTAGAGAGGGAAAGACTATGGCCACCGCCTGGGTTCCGATGCAGTTTTGTTTCCAGCTGTGATATCCACCCTCTTTCCCACAGACCTCCCGACCTCCTTCGTGAAGGAGATCCACGACTTTGTGCTGGAGCAGTTCAACACAAGCCAAGGGGAGCTCCAGAAGATCCTCCACGATGCAGACCGGATCCACAGTGAGCTGAGCCCCCTCAAGCTGCGCTGCCAGGCCAACGCCGCCTGCGTGGACCTCATGGTGTGGGCCGTGAAGGACGAGCAGGGTGAGCCCACGCTTCCCATCTGCCCTGCCAACAGCCACCCAAACTGCCTGATCTCCCACGCGAGTTCCAGACATGCCTCCGAGTCTATCTTCCTGAATGGACTTCTCGGGCATTTGGCTCTGAGGCAAGCACAGGCAGTCATGTGAGCAGTGACCTCCTGGGCATGTGCAGAGCTAAGCACCCCCTGTGTGCCCTGTCCACTGTTCTTGCTGGTTCTTTTGTCTTTACCGTGGAGGCGTGGGAGCCCAGAGCTGGGGGGTGAGGTATCATTCTGGGGGGAGGAGTATAAAAGGAGACATTCTTGTGGAAGGAAACACTGTGGGGTGAGGGGGCCTAGGGCCTGCAGAGGAGAGCTAGTCACGCAACGGCATTTTTACGGTGGGGGATGAGGAGCAAAAGGATGAGATGTGAGTGGATGCCTGCTCCCAGGCCCTTTCCAGTGTGACTGTTCAACGTTCATAAACCCTGCCAGAAACGTGTCTGGGGTTTAGTTCAGCTGCGCGACGCATCCATGAACAAGCCTTTTGTAAGTGTGGGGCGTGGCTCATCCTCCGTTCCTTCCTCTGATTTTGGGTGAAGGTGCAGAAAACCTTTGCATCAAGCTGTCCGAGAAGCTGCAGTCCAAGACGTCCAGCAAGGTCATCATCGCACACTTGCCCCTGCTCATCTGCTGCCTGCAGGTCAGTCTCCCCACACCAGAGAGAGGAAGGCGTCTCCCTTGTCTGGTGGCTCTGGCTGGCCATAGCCCGTCCACAGGCAGCAAAGCTGGGCAGGCTGAGCGGTTTTCCCCAGGCACTCACAGGCCTGTGGTAGGTTCGTCACTGAGCGTGGGGCGCCACCTACAGGGGCCAGGGATCTCTGCACAGGGATCTAGCTCACCTTGTCCGTGGTTATGAGGTGGCCCCTGTCCACTGGGCCAAGCCCAGGGCCAGCAGGAAGGGCCGTGGATGCTGCAGGACACAGGAGAGGATGTCTCCTGGCGTCCACGGCGCTCAGAGCGGCTCTCCAAGACTCCTCCCTTGTCACAGATCTCAGTGACTCCCCCTGCCATTGATAGATCCTATTTTGTGCCTCTCTCCCTTAATTTGCTGCCGAAAGAAGTGAACACACTTTAATGATATAGGAGAGATCTCTGAAAAGCTCATGGAAAATGCATATTATGAAAAAGTATGCATGGATTTCCAATATTTTTAGCACCAACATGAACTTCTACTTTAATTTCATTTTCCCAGGATTTTTTTTTTTTTGAGAGGTTTTCGCTATAGGGCGCATGCGCTCGCCAGAAAGACAGAGAGAGACAGAAAGAGAGAAATCAGCCCCCAGGGAGGATGGTCACACCGCAATCCCTTCTCCTCCATTCTCCTCTCGGGATCTTGGGCATACACACACACGCACCCGGCGTGAGTTTAAGCCAGCGGGTCTGGGACTTGAACCATGGTCGACTACATGGGAGTCCATCGACATAGCCATTATGCTAACTGCTGGTCCCTTCCCAGGAATTTCTTGAAGTCTCCTCATATCTCCCTCGGGTGGAGGAGACACAGTACTTTCCCTCTTCCCTGTCTATTCACCTCACAGGCAAGTGGCCCCTGGGAGCTTTGGCTTGGGAAGTTCTTGGTCGACATGGGACCTGTTTGACCCAGCAGGGACCTTGTGCTCGGGGCCTGCAGAAGGCCCTCTCTGAGCCACGTGGTGGTCGATGCTGTGTTGCAGGGCCTGGGCCGCCTGTGCGAGCGGTTCCCGGTGGTGGTGCACTCGGTGACACCGTCGTTGCGAGACTTCCTGGTCATCCCGTCCCCGGTGCTGGTCAAGCTCTACAAGTACCACAGTCAGTACCACACAGGTGAGGGGCGGCCGGCGAGAGCGCCTGGTGCCCTGTGCCCAGAGGCCCTGAGGGAGCCACGTGGCTGTGCGAGCCCACTCAGGTTCTGGGACTGCGCGAGCCCATTCCTCCTCCAGACCAGGCCTCCTCCTCTTCCTCCCCTCCTTCCTCCTCCTCCTTTCCTCCTCCTGCTCCTTCTTTTTTCATTCTTCTTACTTTCTTCTTTCTCTTCTTCTTTTTTCTTCTCTTTCTTCTTTCTCTTCTTTCTCCTTCTTTTTCTTTCTTCTCTTCTTCTTTCTCTTCTTTTTTCTTTCCTCTTTCTCCTCTTCTTTCTTTCTTCTTTCTCTTCCTTCTTTTTCTTCTCTCTTTTCTTTCTTTTTTCTCTTCTTTCTTCTCCTTTCTTCTTTACTCTTTCTCTTCTTCTTTCTTCTTTCTCTTCTTCTTCTTTCTTCTCCTTCTTTATTCTTCTTTACTCTTTCTTCCATGAACAAGTGTGAGCACGCACAGTAGGGTCCTGATACCACGATGCACTGCCAGCCAGCCCTCAATTGTGAGCCCTTGGTGCCTGGCATGCTGAGAGTCTCTGGATGTAAACCTGGAACCTCCCCATGTTGGCCAGCCTCGCAGAGTGGCATGCTCTACCCCTGCCCCACTGCCCGACCCCATGCCATGCCCTCTGTCTCCCCTGCACATCCCCCCTAGTTCCAGGCCTGGCCTTCCCTCACCTCTCCCACCCCCATACTCCTGTCGATGTTGTCTCTCGCTGTGGAGGTCTGAGGTGTGAGTCCTACACGGGCTGGGCCGAGAGCACCGTGTGCACGGCCTCGCCTGGTCCCACGCCCTGGAGAGTGAGCTAGATGTTTCTACAGGTGAGGACGTGGGCTCAGACGTGTCTGTGACGCACAGTAACCAGCACTAATTAGACAGCTGCTGTGTGCCGGGCCGTGATGCAGCACTGCTCGTCCTACCCACAGTCCCATGAAGGTGCTGTCATCTCCTCCCGCCAGATGAAGGAGCCCCAACTCCGAGCAGTTGAGAGACTTGCCCGGGCCCCACAGCAGGGAGAGGTCTCCCGGGCTCTAAGGCCCTGCTGTCACGCTCGCCCCCGCCCTGTCTTCTCTGTACAGTTTCGCTGTGTAACCCCCGAGGACAGGGCTGTGCCTTCCTCACCGTCAGAGCTGCCTTCACGGGGTCTTCATTGAACCTTTGGGATTATTTTATTTCCGGAGAGTTTCTTTTGCGACACCAGAGAGAGACAGAGATGGAAGGCATGAAATCACCCCTCAGGGAGGATGGCCACACTGTAGTCTCTTTCCTCCATTCTCTCCTCAGGAGTTTGGTTAGACACATACACGCGCAGGCGTCCAGCTTGAGTTAGAAGCCACTGGGTCCAGGGCTCAAACCTTGGTTGTGCCCTGCAATGCCTAGTTCACAGGAGCCATGTGGAACCTTCTCAGGAATTATTTATTAATTTTATTTATTTATTAATTTATTTTAATTTGGCCAGAGAGAGACACAGGGAGAGAGAGAAAGAGGAAGCGAGAAAGCAAGCCACCAGATTCAGGACTCGAACCATGGTCAGCCATATGAGAGTGTCTAGCGCCGTAATGACCACGCCACCTGCTGGTCCCCGCCCATGATATATTTTTTATAAAGAAATTGATGGTTTTCTAGGGGCCAGCAAGTGGCATGGTGCTTAAGGTGCTGGGCATTCCCACATGATCGACCACGGTTCAAGTCCTAGACCTGGTGGCTTGTTTTCTAACTTTCCCTCCCTTTCTCTGTGTCTCTCTCTCTGGTCAAATTAAAATAATTGAATGAGGGAACCAGCAGTTAGCGTAATGGCTATGTCGCTGGACTCCCACGTAGTCGACCGCGGTTCATGTCCCGGACCCGGTGGCTTAAAACTCACGCCGGGCGCTTGTGCGTGCGTGCCCAAGATCCCAAGAGGAGAATGGAGGAGAAGGGATTGCGGCGTGACCATCCCCCCTAGGGGGTGATTTCTCGCTTTCTGTCTCTATGTCTCTCTCTGTCTGTCTGGCGAGCACACGCGCCCTACAGTGAAAATCTCTCCAAAAAAATAAAATAAAATAAAAAAGTAATTGAATGAATAAATAAAATTAAGTAAATTTAAAAAAAGAGAAATGGATGCTTTTGCATATCTATCATGTCGCAACCTAAATATTCCTCCATTCGGTTTGAATGCAATTGTACCCTCTGTGTTGGACTCGGACCCTCCTGGGTCTGAAATGTTGGCTGGCGTGTTTTAGACTGATTGCTTCCGTGAGCTGACAACGTCAGCGTCTTATCCTGAGCAGTAATACAGGGACGGGGTGGACCGCGGCAGGCATGACCAGCGGGCACTTGAATCTTTACCCGCAGTCGCCGGCAGCGATATAAAAATCAGTGTGACCAATGAGCATTCCGAGCCGGCCCTGAACGTCACGCCGGGCAAGAAGAGCCAGCCCTCCATGTACGAGCAGCTGCGGGACATCGCCATCGACAACATCTGCAGGTGGGCCGGGTGCGGGCCGCCCTCCGGGGGGGGGACCGGCTGTAGACAGGCTCACAACACAGTAAAAGCCGGTGACAGTTGTGTTTGTTTTTTTAATTATTTTATTTAACTTTATTTATTTATTTATTTTAATTTGACCAGAGAGGGACAGAGTGATGACCAGAGAGAGAGAAGTAAAGTGAGAAAGCAAGCCACCAGGTCTGGGACTCAAACCACTGTCGGCCATGTGGGATTCCAGTGTCCTTAACCACCATGCCACCTGCTGGCCCCATTTTCTTTTTTTTTAAGGAATTATATTATTTAACTTTATTTATTTATTTATTTTAATTTGACCAGAGAGGATCAGAGGGAGAGATAGAGGGGAAAATGAGAAAGCAAGCCTCCAGGTCCAGGACTCAAACTGTGGTTGGCCATGTGGGAGTCCAGCACCCTTTAACCACCATGCCACCTGCTGGCCCGGAGACAATGAGTTTTGTAAAGCCTGTTTCTGATTATTCTCTTCTTACACTTGATCTAAAAAGAGAAATTATTGGTGCCAGCAGGTGTCGTGGAGGGTAAGGCACTGGGTCCCACATGGCCTACTGTGTAGTTTGGGTCTCAGACCCTGCAGTTTGAAAATCACACTGGGCATGTGTGCGTGTGCCTAAAACGCTGTGAGGAGATGGGGCTGTGGTGTGGCCATTGCCCCCAGGCGGTGATTTTTCACTCCTCTCTCTCCTACACGTGCCCCTGGGTGAGGAGATGGGGCTGTGGTGTGGCCATCGCCCCCAGGCGGTGATTTCTCACTCCTCTCTCTCCTACACGTGCCCCTGGGTGATCGGTGGCCACACTGCGATTCCTCCTCCTCCTGTCTCCCGTCAGGATTGGGGGCACTCTCACACACGTGCCCAGCACGATTTTCAAGCCGCCCGGTCCCAGACTCAAACCATGCAATCAGCCATGTGGGATCCAGCACCTTAACCTCCGCGCCACCTGCTGGTCCCGTAAAGTTATGTTTTGGACTGAAATTTATCAGATGGGCAAAATCCGCACCAGGATCTGACTTTATTCTAGGTAATGACTTTCATTTAGGTTGCAGGGAAAGGAAATTCAGAGCAGAACTTTCATCTTTGTTGACCTGAGAAACGAAACGTTAAAAACAAACACTCTAACCTGTCTCCGTTTCTCGTTGCCTGATGCCTGACGGGTCTCCTCACTGCCCAGGTGCCTGAAGGCCGGCCTCACCGTGGACCCTGTGATCGTGGAAGCCTTCCTGGCCAGCCTCTCCAATCGGCTCTACATCTCCCAGGAGAGTGACAAGTACGTCCCAGTCCCTCGGGCAGATACTGGTTCTTGGCAGGCGGGCGGGGGGCCTCCTGGCATTTGCATACCTGTGCCCCGCTCCTGTCTCAGAGAGAGGCACGCACTGGGTCTGTCCTGGGATTTAAGGTGACGTCCACCTTGCTATGTACGTCCCGGACCACTGCATGGAAGATCGTTGTCCCTCCAGTCTAGCGCCTTGGACTTTGGGTTTCTCTTGGGGCTGAAAGATCCCTGGATTTTGCTGCCATTTTCAGAGGAAGGCTCCATCAAGACTGTGGTGTAGACCGCAGCCTCCGGGTTGATCTCACCCTGCATGCAGAGGTTGTTCCCAGAGAGCTCTGTCCTTCCTCACTCCCCATAGGGACGCTCACTTGATTCCTGACCACACGATCCGAGCCTTGGGACACATCGCCGTGGCCCTGAGGGACACCCCGAAGGTCATGGAGCCGATTCTGCAGATCCTGCAGCAGAAATTCTGCCAGCCCCCGTCCCCGCTCGACGTGCTCATCATCGACCAGCTGGGCTGCCTGGTGATCACCGGAAACGTAAGGAAGCCCCTGGCTCCGAAGAGCCCCGAGACCCACGGACCCAGTGCAGGCCTCTTAAGCTCCTTCGACTGTGGCGAGTGTAGACGTGTAGGTTAAAGTTACCTCGCAGGTGAACTCAGTGCTCACAGCTGTTTTAGCTCTGAGTCGTGAGGAGGGTGTCACGGTGCCATGAGTGCTGGGAAGAGAGGGACTTAATTCCTTGTCACTGTGAGTAACAAAATAGGATCTGAATAGAAGCTGCTTCCCTCTGAGCTCTTCATCTGAGATTCATGTAAAGCTTTAGAAATAGACGCCCTGAGACCAGCAGTTGGTGTAATGGCTATGTCGCTGGACTCCCACGTAGTCGACCGCGGTTCGAGTCCTGGACCCAGTGGCTTAAACTCACGCCGGGCACGTGTGTGTGCATGCCCAAGATCCCGAGAGGAGAATGGAGGAGAAGGGATTGCGGCGTGACCATCCCCCCTGGGGGGTGATTTCTCGCTTTCTGTCTCTCTGTCTCTCTCTGTCTGTCTGGCGCACGCACGCCCTATAGCGAAAACCTCTTAAAAAAATAAAAAGGAAATGGACGCCCTGATGGTCCTTCGGGCCGCGCGGCCCCTGGTTCCAGAGCTTTCCCTCTGGATGACACAGCAGGAGCCTTCTCCGGGTTCCCAGGAGGGGCTTCTGGAGGGAGTCATGGCATGGTGATGGCGCCCCCCCTCTCTTCCAGCAATACATTTATCAGGAAGTGTGGAACCTCTTCCAGCAGATCAGTGTGAAGGCCAGCTCTGTCGTGTACTCGGCCACCAAAGATTACAAGGACCACGGTTACAGGTAACCGGACCACATTTTCACTTTGGATCCTGACAGCATTTAACGCCCTCTGGAAAAGGTCGGGATTGCAAGTTTGTCTCATAAACCCTTCTTACGAAAGCACTGCGGAGGCTGGCGGGTGGCGTGGTGGTTGGAGGCAGTAGATTCCAACATGGACGACTGTGGTTCGAGTCCTGGACCTGGTGGCTTGCTTCCTCACTTTCCCTTTCTCTTTCTCTCTCACTCTCACTCTATCCCTCTCTGGTCAAATTAAAATAAGTAAGTAAATAAATAAAGTTAAATAATTATTTAAAAAAAAAAAAAAGCACTGTGTGCTACAAGTCAATGTATACACGAAGTAGGGAATAAAACCTACATACGGGGGGGTCAGTAGGTGGCGCAGTGGTGAAGGTGCTGGGCTCCCACACGGCTGACCGCAGTTCGAGTCCTAGACCTGACAGCTTGAAAATCACATTGGGTGCATGTGCATGCGTGTGCAGAATCCCAGGAGGAGAATGGAGGAGAAGGGATTGAGGCGAGGCCATCCCCCTTGGAGGGTGATTTCTCACTTCCCCTCTCTCTGGCAAGCACATGCACCCTAAGTCAAAAACCTTAAAACACAAAACCAAAGAAGACACCGCCACATACAGCCACCACCTCCATTCCAGTCAGACCCCAGCCGCACACGCGTGCCCTGCTTTTCCGTGGAGCGACACACCTATGCCATCAGGCTTCCTCTGCGCGTCACCTTGAGCGGCTGCGGAACTTCCCATCGTATAGCCGTGCCGAGATCTATTCCAGCCGGGGCTTGGGCGTCAGGTGGTCTGGAAAGTCATGACACATCTTTGCATAGAAAAACGTAGAAAAATGCAGCATGACTTTCCTGACCACCTGATCGTTGTCCTGCCGGTCCGTGCTGCATTGAACAAACTCATCTCTGCCTGTCCGTGAGCAGGCGTGGTCCTTTCCCAGGTCCAATTCAGCAGAGTGGGGTTTGGAGGGCCCCAGGGGATAGCCGCATTATACTCATGAATGTTTGATATCCGTATCGAGCCTGGCCAGTTTTCCCCGACTGACTGAGATGCTGCCTCGTTTATTCCTTGGCCTTCCTGGGACTGCCAGGAGGAGCGGGCGTGTTTCTCTGTGTTCAGAGGCTCTCCCAAGGGCTCATCAGCAGTGGAAGGGAGGAGGAAGGGAGCAGAGTCAGACCAGGACGAGAGACGGAGGAGGGCGGGACAGAGCCCTTGCTTGGCGTTACTGCTGTCCGTCCCTGGGCTCCTCCCTCCTGGTGACCATAAAACCCATCCTCAGAGATTGTCTCCAAGTTAGTTCAGCCCATGAGAATGTGCAGAGCCACGCAGCAGGCCTCGTGACCTCAGAAAAGACCAAACCTCTGTCGCTGTGTCCTCAGCCACCACACAAGCACCTGCAGTTGTGCAGGTGAGTGAGATGGCAGACGACAGCTCCGCATGGGCACGAGCTACTGCTCCATTGCCGGCTCACTGAGCGCTGACCGTCAGAACAGCCTGAGGATCGGGTCGGGGCGAGGCCTTCCATCCCTGGGGGTCAGTCCTGGTCTCCGCGATGGAACTGATGCAGATCAGAGCGCTCCTTTCCCCGCACCGCTTCCTTGCGCCCGACGTGCCTGCGGGGCCTTCTTGGCTCTGGGCACCTCCTTTCCCTGGTCTGGCCCCTGCTGGACCCCGCCTGTCTGTCTCGCTGCTCTTTGTACCGTTCTTCGTCCTACTGGCCCTGTTCTGTGCCACCAAAACGGACTTGTCCTCTTCGTCTGTGTTGGGAGCATTTCCTGCTTGCCTTGACCGACCGGGTGTCCACCCAACCGTGCAGGGAGCGCCTTTGTCATGGCCGTTTGCTCTGTGACCCCTGGGCACCACGTGGTCTGCTTCATTCACGTGGCGTTTAACTCCTCCTGCAGTACCACGAAGAGGGAGCTGTCTTGACCGTCTTACTTAAGAAGGGACAGGCTCAGACGTGACGCCCCAGGGTCGTGCAGCATGGGAGTGGCGGGGCGCCGCCTGCAGAAGCCCAGCCAGTCTCCCTGGTTCCTGACTCTGGCCGAGGAGGCAAAGTCAGCCTCACACCTGGGGTTTTTGTGGGACAGGACACACCCTGAGGTGGACTGTCCTAGGACCCGTGGGTACTTCCTGAGTGATGTGTGAGCCAAATCTAATTATTATTATTATTTTTTTTTTTTGAGAGAGGTTTTTGCTATAGGACTCATGTGCTCACCAGACAGAAAAAGACAGAGAGACAGAAAGTGAGAAATCACCCCCTAGGGGAGATGGCCACGCCGCAATCCCTTCTCCTCCATTCTCTCGGGATCTTGGGCACGCACGCACACACTCCCAGCATGAGTTTAAGCCACTGGGTCCGGGACTCAGACCACAGTCAACTGCATGGGAGTCCAATGACATAGCCATTATGCCATCTGCTGGTCCAAATTTTTTTTAAAGAGGTTTTTGTCTTAGACTGTGTGTAGTCGCCTGAGAGAGACAGACAGAGACAGTGAGAGGGTAAGTGAGAAATCACCCCCTCAGAGTAGATGGCCACATCTCAATCCATTCTCCTCCATCTCCTCCCAGGACCTTGGGCATGCACACATGCACATGCACCCGGCATGAGTTCAAGCCACCTGGTCAAGGACTCAAACTGTGGTTGGCCATGTGGGAATCCAGCGGCTTAACTGCCATGCCATCTGTTGGCCTTGCGCCAAATCTAATTCTTTTTTTTTTTTTTTAAGAGAGATTTTTTGCTATAGGGTGCGTGTACTCACTAGAGAGACAGAAAGTGAGAAATTACCTCCACTTGGGGGAATGGCCACACCACAATCCCTTCTCCTCTTGGGATTTTGGGAACACACGCACACATGCCTGGTGTGAGTTTTAAGCTTCTGGGGCTGGGACTCGAACCATGGTCAACTACGTGGGAATCCAGCAACGTAACCATTATGCCAACTGCTGGTCCCAAGCCAAATCTGATTCTAACATCACCCCTCCAATAAAGCTGATCATCGGGAGAAATTTTTTTTCATTTATTTCTTCCATGAGAGAAAGGCAGAGAGACCAGCACCCACCAGAGTTTTCCTGCCATAATCCGTCCCCAGTCTTAGCCAGCCCAGAACACGAGCACATGTGTGTACTACACACACGGGGGGTCTTGGGACCTGAACCCAGAACCTTCTTGTGTGAGTCTAGCCATGTTACTGCTGTACCACTGCCCTGTCCCAAAGGCAAACGTTTTCTGGGTGGTAAGCGATAAGTTAAGGCTGTCTGTGCTTTGAGGGGGGAAATCAGGGTCCACCCAGGAAATGCCAGGAGGAGGCAAGCACTTTCGACTTACAGGAGACCCTCGATGTCCCGAGGCCGTGTCCTGAGACCCACACAGGCCCTGGAGTACACGCTCCTGGGACTTAGCGCCATCCCCAGAGGCCCTTCCCGTCTCTTTGGAGAAGAGACTCTGGTCCTTCTCCAGCAAGTGGCTTGCTTTCAGGGACCGTCGTTCACGAAAACGGCATGTCCATCGCCTCCTGAGAGTGTTGCGAGGAGCAGTGAGCAGGCGGGCTGCCCGCAGCAGCACCGCTCGGCCCTGCGACACCATTACGGATGCAGGGGAGGCCCGGGAGAGGCCCGGCGGCCACTGATTTTGCGCCTTCCCTGCAGGCACTGCTCCCTGGCGGTGATCAACGCCCTGGCCAACATCGCGGCCAACATCCAGGACGAGGCAGCTCTGGGACAGCCGGCCCTGAAAACGCTGGGGCGGGGCCAACCGCCAGGACGAGCAGCTCGTGGACGAGCTGCTCATGAACCTGCTGGAGCTGTTCGTGCAGCTGGGGCTGGAGGGCAAGCGGGCCAGCGAGCGGGCCAGCGAGAAGGGGCCTGCCCTGTAGGTAGGAGGGCCTGCCCTGGGGTGGGAAGGGAGCCTGTCCTGAAGTTGGGGGGCTGTCCCGAAGATAGAGAGGTCTTTTTTTTTTTTTTTTTTT